CATTATTCGACGTACAGCGGCACGTTTGCAAAATTCGACGGTAATCCGAACTCGATGGACGTTTCTTTGGCGCGAATTGCTTTCGTTCTTTAATTACCCGTAACCCGGGCCACGGATCGGCACCGATTTCGTCGAAATCCTCGAGACCGTGACGAAGATTTTACGAGAGGAAGTGCGTCGCATCGGCTGGCCACTCGTCTCGAAAGTGGCGAAGAAAAAGAAAGTGGCGAACGAACGGTTAAGAGATAACTCGGTGACTCGGTTGCGCATTGAAACATTGAGCGGATGGAAAAGCGGGAGGAAGGGGGAGAGGGCGATGGATCGATAAGAAAAAACAATCGATCAGCTCGTAACTCGTCATCCATCGACCGCTGGAACGGTCAGTGGAGCGAGCGTGTTCGCCTGCCGCGCACGGTCACACTGTACCGTGCAATTTTCTTAAGTCCGGCCACTTATTCTCATTTACGTTCACGTTTACATCATCGAGGCAGTAAAGTGTTACTGCTAGCGCACAGGTGCGCCCTGCTTTTTCTTTTTATCCTCTCCGTTGGTTGGTTGGTTGGTTGGTTGGTCGGTTGGTTGGTCGACCGACCGGTCGGTCGGTCGGTCGGTCGGTCGGTGGTTGCTCGCCTCGGTTGCTTCGGCCTTTTTGTTCGTGGTCTACGGGCACCTAACGAGTCAGGGGCCTGTCATTATCCGCTCTTGCTACCTCCCTGGCCCCTAGCTCCTGCTCTCTATCTCTACGCGAGCAGATTATCCTGGAAACTTATTGCGGTAAACTCGGACAATAACGATGGAATCGAATGCGTTTGCTCCATCAGGCCACTGATCTCTCTCTTTCTGTCTCTCTCTATCTCTCTCTCTCTCGCGGCCTTTTTCGTAGTTCGATTCTTCCCGTGCCAATTGCCTCCCTGCGAGGCTCGATTTGTCGCGTGGCCGTTCGGGATCCTCGCTTCTTTCTTCCCCACGCCCGGTTACCGAGAAACGTTTCAAGAAAGAAGGTAGCAACACGAGAAAGTTCTCCTTCCCGCTCTCAATTTCTTCATCCTGGCTTCTGATCGATCCTAGAAACGGTTTCTTCTTCCTCTTTCCTACTCGTCCGCGGGCAAAATACGAGTCAATTACGCTTCTTGGATCATGGAATTATAGGATCATCTAAAATTTACGATATTTTCTTTCTTTTTAATAATAGAATCTTAAAGAATTTTTTTTTTTTTTTAGATTCGCGTCTTTTGAATACTCGAGAAATCCAATAAACATCCGCAGTTTGATCATTGACACACGTATTGCGAGACCGTCGAAAAGGATCGATAAGACATACACGTCGAAAAAAACGATGGAGGCAAGATTACAACGACGTTTAACGATAAAATTTAATCGCCGCTCGTCATCGAACAAGTTTCGCGCCTCATCGTGCGACCGGACCTTGCTCAACATCAAACCTACATCGAATAAAAGTACAACGTCATCGTACCACTTTTTTTCCCCCCTCCCTCCTTTTATTTTATTTTCATTTCTTTCTTCTTTTTCTCTTTTTTTTTGATCACGGCCGATCGGCTACGCGGAAATAATTACGGTTCGATAAAGCGCGCCGATAAAAGTGCGCGGTAATAGCCCTAGCTCTCATCTCTAACGGGAACTAGTTTACCAAGAGGTGTATCTTCCTCGTACTGCGTTATTAATCGGCGCAACTCTGGTACGCGCCAACTCGCCCCTCCCTCGTGGGGAGGGGGAGAGAAAAAAAAAAAAGAAA